TCCTGATCCGCCATGGCCTCCTGAGTCTCCTGATCCGCCATGTCCTCCTGAATCTCCTGATCCACCATGGCCTCCTTGAGTCCCCTGATCCGCCACGGCCTCCTGAGCTACCGGCTCCGCCATGGCAACCTGAACTGCCGGCTCCGCAATGGCCTCCGGAGCCCCCTGCTCCGCCATGGCAACCTGAACTGCCTGCTCCGCCATGGCTCCCGGAGCTCCCTGATCTGCCCTGGAGGCCTCCCTTGTCTCCGCCCTGTTCCTGCTCTGCACCAGCCTCCAGGCAGGGCACCATAAACAGGCGGGTTTATGATGTGTGTAGTTTATAGCCTACATTACACTAACATTAGACTACTTTTAGCCTTACCCTGCAGTTAGTTCACACTCTGCCTATGGGTAAATATTTAATTCTTCTTTGCTTAATGATAGTTTGGTACACCAAATTAACTGATATTGAATAAGCTTTTGTCTTAGAATCGATGAACAGCCACTAGGTTGTTAGGTTTTCTGTATGGAAGAATATTCAGGACTTTTTTCAAAAGCAATTGCAAATTGTATTTTCAATTGCGTTTTCCACATGTGGGCGCATAAATTGACATAATCCAAATGCAATTGCAAATCTTGCATTACCATTTACATTTTTGCTTTCGCGAACGCACAGTGACTGCCACATTTCAAATGGAAAAGCAAAGTCCATTTGCAACTGTATTTCCCATGTCTTACGAGTTATGAGCTAGAGGTCTGCATTCCCGCGGGACCTGACCAGATTTTTTTAGCAATATTAATTACCACATTTGCTTTTTCACTCTCTCTGAGTTGCGCATGTAACCTGCCAAAACTCAAATGGAATTACAATTCCTTCTGCATTTGAATTTCCGATGTCTACACGGAAAGCTGTCAATCAATGTGAGGGGGCGGGACTATACTAGTGGGCGTGTTTGTATTGGGAGGTGACGTCACTCACAGACGACCGTGCCGAATGCTCTGATCAATGGAGGTAATCGGTAAAGGCTCCGCTAAAAGCAGCTGCTAGTTGGTACGTGCCTGTGTCAACAAACAGACAACCTTCTTGGCACAATACATAATTCTGTCTTTTTTACCCCAAATGCAGCGATTATACCCTGCTAACAGCGGGAGCAACAACTTTTACCCCAAATGCAGCGATTATCCCCTGCTAACAGCGGGAGCAACAACGGTACGCACGATAGGTCAATATTCACTATTACCCAAATGCTTTTCACCTGTCTCAACATCTCTCCCTGTTTCTCTCACTCCGATTGATGCAAGTAAGCAGACAGTGCAATTCTACACTTATGGTTTCCTACAAATGTAGAAAATACAAAAGATTAGGCTACAACACTGTATAACTTCACAGAACTAAATTATACACATATGCAAATCACATTTCTTATTAATATACATTTATTAACAATAAAGATAAGAAAGATAAAAATAAGAAAGATGCACATTACAAATACGTAGTTGTAAGTGAGAAAC